GCGATACTGCCATGTCAGCTTCCTCGCGTCTCTTCCCGACCGCAGGGATTGGATTCCCAATTCTGCCCTGACGGCAGCATTACTTGTGCGCTTGGATGAGGATGATTTTCGCTGCTTTCATCTGCGCCGCCTCGAGTTCTTTGACTACCTTCTTATTTCCTTCCCATACTTCTCCGGCGTACTCTAGCGGCGGTACGATTACGCTCTTCAAAACCGTCAATTTGATGCGTGTATCGAGGTGCCGGTTTGCGAGTATTGGGTGCAGCTTCCCTGCTCGTGCTTTGCCCTTTTCCGCTACCTTGGACATATATCCCGGGGGGGGGGGGGGAAAAAAACTTTCGCCTTCAGACAATTGAGCTTCCCACGGGGTAGGCCTTGCAACTTGGGTAATGACTCTGGTAGAACAAGGGAAACTATTCCGGATCTCACACTGGACGGGTGGTGTAGCCGACAATCTGAAGTCCGGATCCGGGCCAACAACTCTCACGTACAGTACTGGTCCATTGTATGGTTGCAATAGCTCTCAAAACTAACTTTTTGCACACACATGCACATTCCGTGGACCTTCAACGAAACCCTTTAAATCACTCTTGGAAAATAACAAAGTAAACCCTGTAACAACACTAACGAACACCCCCTTTAACATTGACTCGCAGCCACACCCAAACACATCCATCCACGATTGAACTCTTCACGCACGGGATACAGAGCATTCTCCTCGGAATCAAACCAACAAATGCTACGGAGCACAAAACCATCGACGACATATCTAGTCTATGGATAGATCCTGAATGGATAAAATTGGCACACACACGTGGAGAACACCCACTCAACTTCCATCACCAAAATACGTGCAGCTGTAGCGGCGGCTGTCTCGGCAAGGGATGAATACGGTGAAATTTTTAACCTTTCGCAGTCTAGATATGGAAGGCGCAGGTCCGTGGTTGGAAATGCGACGAGAATCGACCCGGGCAATCTGTTGGTGTAGGTAGGGAGGTGCGTACACTCAACCATTTCCAATGGCAGGGCTTTGCCTCCCGGACAAATCTTGTAGGCGCGGCCGATCGAACCAAAGAAACTGAAAGCCTTAGTACATGCTTCTGGCCGCTGAGTTGATCTAATAACGTGACGTGAGCTAACATGCAAGTGCTGGCGTTGGAGTACACGCAGCCTTTGCTAGGAGGTAATCGGAGACTAAATCTACCACCAGAACGCTAGCCGGTGCGTGTTGCAGGTGAGATAAGCTAAACAGAGCCATCTCACATGTAGGTGGGACATCAACTGCTGATCTAACCGCACACGTCAAACTGACGTGTTACAGCTATTCAGCCCTTCCACATGCTTCTCGCTCATTGCATACAATCCCGTCCCCCACTCACAAGAAACATCCCTCCAAGGAGTCGACCTTCGAATAAACAGAAAAACAATATGACGCAAGAAATTGGGCTCGACCGCGAGCAATCCACTAAAACCATACTGCAGGGTAGCAACGGTCTTCGCTCAATAGTTGAGACGAAAGGTGTCAGTGTGCACTGCCGCCCTCAGCTGTCTGTGGTGTTGAGACTGGGTACTATGTTATCCCAGGCACAGCAGATGAAAAAAGGACCATGTATTATATATATCCGGCACGCAAGCCCCTCAGGCAAAACCTGGTAACCAACACGCAAGCCAGGCAAGTGCCGGGAGCACACCGCCGTGTGCTCACCCGGGGGGGCCGCACTTGGACCCCAACCGCATACATATCCATCACACCCATACTTCCCATCCGCGTATCCCCCACAGAGGATGACAGCTCGGACTCATATCCAAGTACCACAAACAGCCCCCCTACTTGATACGATGTACGATCTTGCAACCCTTCACGCGCGATCAGTCAACACAGAAAAACACCCCATCAGAAAACTTATTCAAAACTGGCTACGCATTCAACACAAAGCGTCTCCATCAGTTTATTCACGAATCCCACTNCCCCCTACTTGATACGATGTACGATCTTGCAACCCTTCACGCGCGATCAGTCAACACAGAAAAACACCCCATCAGAAAACTTATTCAAAACTGGCTACGCATTCAACACAAAGCGTCTCCATCAGTTTATTCACGAATCCCACTCGTTCGCCTCTGGAAATAATCTCAAACCGTTGACACAAAAGAATCATCCTCAGAAAGGTGCCCAACAATTATTTGTGCTACGTCAGAAAGGCGGCGGAACGAAAACGGATATTTCTGGAAAAAACAACCTCAAAAGAGTTGGCACCAAATCCTCAAACAAAACAAAAAATCAACTTCTTCACCAATCAAAACGAATATTCGGAAAGCACAATGGCCCCAACCATTAATCGTCAAAACATGTTAAATCCTTCCTCCAAAACAGTATCCAAGGACCAAATCCTAAACAGCGCGCACCCGCTAATCGATACCGTCGCTGTTGTCCAAGAAACGATAGAACACATAAGCAAGCAAGCATCCACGCAAACAGCCCCCCTGCTGTCAGCCCCCAAAATTCATCCCGAGCTACAATTATTATCATGAAACAAAGTTAAAAAAACAAACAAACAAATACGCACACGCCGTGGCATACACGTGTTTCTGCATCAAAGTGCAGGGTTCGCTAGCAAGGGAAAAACAGAACAAAAACAAATGCGAAGCCAAATGGCGAAGAAGCTAAAACGTACATACCTGCTCACAAAACCGAACAAAGTCGTGAACGTTTCATATGTTCTCCCACTTGGCTATAACAAGGTGAGGTCGTCGCTGTCACCGTGTCCTCCCCGTTCCCGGTAGACTCGAGGGCGCCACCGCTGCTGCCGCCGCTGTCATCGCCGCCGTTGCCGTTCCCCCGCCGCCACGACCGTCATGAGTTCCAGCGCCAACACGGCTGCCGATGACGTCGCTGCTGCCGCTTCTACCACCGCCGCCGTTGTCGCCGCTGCCACCGACGAGGTTCTGGCCGAAGCCGCCGCTGCCGTCTGCGGCTGCCGTCGGAGCTCTGGCCAAAGCCGTAACTCCCGTCGCTGCTGCGGCTGGCACCGTTGCCGCCGTTGTCGCCGCCGGAGCTGCCACTTCCGTTCCTGCCCCTATCGAAGGGGCACGCCACCTCTGGAACCGCCCCCCGTCTCCTCGCGCCAAGCGAAGATGTCGTACCGGGGTCGAAGGGGTGCGTCGGGGCTCCACTCCAGGTTTCATCCAACCCCTCGTCCCCGCTCCCATCGCCACCGCTGTCTTCGCTGCTGCAGCTGCTGCTACTGCTGCTGCTGATGCTGTTGCTCACGTCCCCCCCAGCATATCGGCTATCAAGCTCCTCGAGGACTGGCAATGGCATGGTTGTCGCACCAACCGCTTCCTCCAACTCTTCGTCACATACTTCCGTCACCGGTGCCGCCGCCGCCGCCCCTGCGGCCATCTGGACACCCGACGCCAATGCGGCGACCGGGGACGCCGCTGCTGCTGTCGCCGGTGCCGTTACCCTNCCAACCGCTTCCTCCAACTCTTCGTCACATACTTCCGTCACCGGTGCCGCCGCCGCCGCCCCTGCGGCCGTCTGGACACCCGACGCCAATGCGGCGACCGGGGACGCCGCTGCTGCTGTCGCCGTTGCCGTTACCCCCATCACCGATGTCGCTACCGCCGCCGCTGCGGCCGTCTGGATACCCGACGCCAACGCGGCGACCGGGGACTCCGCTGCTGCTGCCGCCGCTGCCGTTACCCCCGTCACCGATGTCGACACCGCCGCCTCTGCGGCCGTCTGGACACCCAACGCCAACGCGGCGACCGGGGACGCCGCCGCTGCTGCTGCTGCTGCTGCCGCTCCCCCCGTCACCGATGCCGCCACCGCCGATGCTGCTGTCGGGGACGGCGCTCTGGCCGAAGCCGTCCGCACCACCTCCGCCTCAGCCGATGCTACTGTCGGTGACGGCGCTCTGGCCGAACCCGTCCGCGCCGCCGCCGCTCCTGCCGATGCTGCTGCCGCCGCCGCCGCTGCGGCCGTCTGTATACCCATTGCCAAAGCGGCAACCGGGACGCCGCTGCGGCTACTGCCGCTTCCGACGGATGCTTGGGTTGTTGTGATTCCGCGGACGGCGAAACTACAACAACGTGATACGATCCAAGCATGTGTTACTCCGCTACACGTCTACTGCTGTATCCGCCCTCCATGAGATTCAGCTCATCGCGTTGCCGCACTACTGCAGGTGCTACACGTGATGTCGCGGGCCGCTGGGGAGAGCGAGTGGCGGAGTGTGTGTTTACGTTGAGAGAAGCTACGTTGGCGGGGGCTTTTACCGGCAAATACGCCGCAGACGAACCGGCAGCCCCCCCCCCCCCATTCTCACCAACGAACACGCCACCACGCACCTGTCCACCTGCACCCCAGTGAAGCCGTCCGCTAGCTGTTGTTGCCGCGGCTGTTGCTGCTGAGAGTCACCGCCGTACACCACGCCTGGCTGCTGCTGCTGGTGCTGCCAACACACAGACCGGCCGCCAAACTCGCCGTTCCTCCGCTGCTGCTGAAACGGTCCGCGGGCGAAAGCTGGAGATGTACCAGGAGCGCCGTTGCAGGACCGTAGAGGTTGCTGCTGTTGACGAGGCTGCTGCTGTGGCATGGGCTGCTGCTGCACCGATGGCTGTGGCACGAACCTCTGCTGCACGCACGGTTGTTGCTGCTGCTGCTAAAAAGAACACCTTCTGCCAAACACGCCATACCTCCACTGCTGCTGGAACGGTTGCTGTACGGGAACACCTCCGCAGGACTGCAGTAGACCATGCTGCTGTTGACGAGAAAAACCTCCCCAACAGTCGCGCCGAAAATTCCACCGGCGACATGAAGAGCTTGCGGGTCACCGGTCGGCGCTGCCGTCCGCCGCGCAACATTCCCGAGGTCTCTCTCGGCGTGCAGGCTTCGCACAAGATTTTCCAAGTCCTCGCGCGTGAGCGAGCTGTTGGCCATGACGAGAATGTAGACCTGTTCGTAGTCGGCGGAGAGGTTCCTTCGAAGCATCGCGAGGACTTCCCTATCCGTGATCGCATCGCCGTTGACGGCGCGGAGAGTAGACAACACTCTGTCNTCGGCGTGCAGGCTACGCACAAGATTCTCCAAGTCCTTGCGCGTGAGCGAGCTGTTGGCCATGAAGAGAATGTGGACCTGTTCGTAGTCGGCGGAGAGGTTCCTTCGAAGCATCGCGAGGACTTCTCTATCCGTGATCGCATCGCCGTTGACGGCGCGGAGAGTAGACAACACTCTGTCGAACCTAAGAAAGTACTCCTTTGGGTCCTCTCCAAGCTGCATCTTCATGTTCATGAGAGACAGCTTCAGTGCCTCCTGCTCGGAGTCTCTCATCGGCAGGCAGAACTGTTGTGCAGCCTCCCACGCCCCAGACACAGTCCCAACGGCAAGGATTCTAGCCTGAAAGTTTGCCCCCTTCGTGGCGCGCATCAAGTACTCAAACGCATACTCATGGTCGCGCACGCGACGCCACCGTGCAAGCGGACGTTTTCGCTCCTTGGCAGCCCGTTGAGGATCCAGATGCGTTGGTCTGGACTCGCCGGCTTGGCGAGTGTGTGTGATAGATCTTCGCGGGCGAGGAAGAGCTCGAACAGCGACTTGAACAGTGGGAATTGCCGTCGTACACCGGTGGCTTCCGGTCCTTCCGCACGTAATCGCGGTAATGCTGCTGCTGCTCCTGATCATCGAAAAAAGTAGCCGTCCTCCCGGCTCCAAAAGTAGCCGCCCCTCCGGCAGCTCCATCCCTGCTATGGTACCCAGGCGCATAGCCAGCGCCGCTTATCCTCATGTTACCTGCCGCATACCCGGCATCACCCACTCTCCTTCTCGCGGCTTTCTCCGCTGAACTCCTCTCCTCTGCCTCCTCTATTCTCCTCTGCATTTCCGTCATCTTGGCTGCCGCTTCCTCGGCTGCTCTCTCGGCATTCCTCGCTCGTTCTTCTAACAACTCTCTTCCTCTTTCCGTCATCGCCGAACCAACACCTGGCCTAGCTAAGCTCCAAACACGATATCGTGTCAGTGTGCACTACCGCCCTCAGCTGTCTGTGGTGTTGAGACTGGGCAATATGTTATCCCAGGAACAGCAGATGAAAAAGGACCATGTATTATATATATCCGTCACGCAAGCCCCTCAGGCAAGTGCTGGGAGCACACCGCCGTTTGCTGACGCGGGGAGGCCGCACTTGGACCCCAACCGCATACATATCCATTACACCCATACTTCCCATACGCGTGTCCCCCACAGAGGATGCACGGCTCGGACTCATATCCAAGTACCACAAACAAAAGGCTATAAGCCTTGCTACAAAGAACGGATGCGCTACTTCGAGCAGGCTGGCCCTTGTACTGCTCTCCACCAACGTCACCGCGCGAGGAGATACCTACAATCAATCCACCTTCACAACGGAGCCGTGCTGAGGTCGCAGAATTGCAATGAATGGAAGCATTAGACGTTCGCCCAAATCGATCACACTAGCGAGTCAACGGAGCACTGCCTACATCCCTGCCCAATTTTCGACCACCGCTGCCGCCCCCACGGCCGCCGCCGCTCCAGCCGAAGACGCCAACCCCCGGTACCGTTGCTGCGGACGACAACGAGCCCGGCGATGCACGCCTGGGACTATCCTTTAGCAGGCGCGTCTCTGATCGGCCCAAACAAGCGCTTGGAGTCATGCTTGTGCTCGCGCCGAGGCTGATCGACCTTGCCAATGACTCGGGCGGTGGTACGGCGGTGGCTGGAGGAGACCCATCCCTCCGGTGCGAAGAGGGCGGGACAATTTCGCGGTCCTGCAAAACACCGAGGCCAAGGGAGAGGGGGGGCGCTTACGGCGATGACTGCGTCCATTATATGGGCGGAATGGCCACGTGGTGGATGCGCGGCGGATGTGTAGGAGTGGCTGGGATGAGTGCGCGGGTTAGGTTAGGTGGGCGAGTAAATGGGGAGAGGGATGTTGAGTCCGGGGCTCTAGCGGAGCAGCCACGCTTGTGGGTATGAAAATCGGCAATCAAGAATATATCAGCCCCGTAGGTGCGCGTGCGCGCCGATGGATCAAGGAATGCTGCAGACACCTTTCAAACAGTCGGTTAGAAAGTGCTGTCTTGCCGGCTAGAACGGCTGAGTGATCACCCGGGCCAACAGGCAGATTTCGTAAGGGTGAACTCTGGCAGCCCTGCGGACCGGACCGTAAGTACAGAGGACTGCACGCACCGACATCGCCAGCGACACCAACGATACCAAGCCCGCCACCACGTCTAAAACCAGCATCAACGATCGACTGTATCCACCTGCAGTGCGTATGCTGGCAGCGTCTCCCCCGTTCCCCAGGCAGGTGAGGGCTCCCCATCCTCGCCAGTAGCGTTGCTTTGCTTGCTGCCGGGCTTTCTCCTCACAGGATGCAGGATTTCTATGCTAGCGTTGTTGACTCGCCTTGACAAGTCGACCACAACCCCGGACCCCCTGGTGACGGATTTCTTGAAGTTTCGGACTTTGAGGTGTGGGTCTTGGCGCGATGCGGAGATGAAAAATATTGGCCACAACATGAGTAGCAAGTCTGCAGGGAGACGAGAGCGAAGCACGAAAAGGGAAGAAGCAAAAGAGGAAGAAGCCAGGGAACGTAGTACAAGTACGTTTAAGGGTATGGTTCCAAACGCGAAGAGAATCCAATCGGGCGAAAGAAATCACGGAAAATCTGAGGAGGAAGGACACCGAGACGGTGTCGAACGACAGATGTCAGTGTAGGTAGAGAGTTTAAATAGTGTCACACAAGAAGCGAACGTAGTCTTGCGTAGTCCTTGCCTCTATCTTACCCGTTCACCCCATGATCTCCTTCCATGGCAATTTTTCATCAGTTCCCTAATACTTTCATTTTTCTTTTTGTGTTACACAATAAATCCATTTCTATCCATAGATAAGGGCCTAGGATAAATCGGTTTCCTCGGAGTAATTTTTCCTCTTTGATGTTTTCGCCGTGGTGCTTGTGTCGGACCGTCATCAGTCCTCTGGCATTTTCTAGCTAATGTACGTTCGTCGCTGTTGGCACCTTCTCGTAGCCCTTTCAGAGGCATTGGAAACAAGTTTCGCTGCCCTGCCTGCGAACAAAGTTGGCCGTTGGACTCTTTCCGCGTACAGTGTAGCTGGCGGAGTTGCCGTTGGTTTGTCGTCGAGTCTGTCTGTGGTTGTTCTCCATGAAAGATGCCTTCCCTGACCCGCGTCCTTCAGCTTTTACGCCTTGTGCACCTGTTTATTTCGGACACACTCTCTTCGTCGGGTTGGTTAACTATTCGCTGAGCCAACGTGAACTACCACATCAACGATGACACAGAGCACAACTCACCCCAAAAGCCACCAACGTTGCCGAACAACTCGGCGATCTCGAGAGGGTTAATCTCCGTAATCTCCTCCAGAGAGTCTGTGGTCTGCGCTATCTCCATAGACAACCACGCGTAAGGGCTTGTAATTCCGGTAATGTTGTTGGTCCTCTAGGCAGAAGACGAGCAAGTCGTTCCAAACGAAAACGCAGTTCCACACGAGGGGTGGAAAGGAGAAGGGAGGGCAGGTCAACTTCCGAACGTGTTGGCTGCCCTCGTCATAATCAGGATAGAACCTTCACGTCCCCGGCACCGGAGTCATCACCGATATCGATAAGTTATCAGTCAGTGCGCAACGGGCCCGGGATGCAATCCGCTAGAAATCCACTGCACGTGGGAGCCTCCAGCCTCGACCCTGTGGGGGTGACCGCTTTGGTTGAGACACCTGGACTCTGACGACTTTCGTTTCGTTTTTCAGATCACCCCACAACGACAATCGGGTGTGCGCAAGCAGCAGGCACCACATCAATGATACAGTCAACCGACGGCACTTCATTGTCTATATGTAGCACCAACAGGTATCAGACCTGTGTAGAAAATAATAAAAGAGGGTCAGCGCCTCTTGTAGCATGTTTGGTATTTAACATGCTTGGGACGGATTGTCAGACAGTAGTAGTAACCCCACTGCCAACCTTGTCTTTGTAGGTAGCTGACGACGTCTCCAGAGCCTTGTACGAGGCGATGTCATCTTCGTAAAGCTTATCCTCCTTGGTAAGTCCTATCCCCTGTATGGCGGCAAGACGAGAGTGCGGAGCCCAAACATACACTTGTATGGCGATGCTCTTCGACAATTGATGGAATGCGGTAGATTGCACACCAAGCGACCCGGGGTATCAAGATGCTCCGCAGATATGTTTTTCTTTGTGATGGTGATGAGGTTGTGCCAGAAAGCGATACGAAGGTGGTTCTAATAGGTGAATCGATGTTGTTTGAAGCGGTGGTAGTTTGGCGGTACGGCAGGAACTTGAGCACTTGTTTATGGCGATAATTTATTTGATTTGATGGCGGCACGAACTTCTTAGTGGTCAACTTACATGAGCAGTTGATCATGAGATCGCCATCTATCTCTGAAATCTTTCGAAGTACTTTGTGCGGAGCGGTTTACATTTATGCACGTAACGAAAACAACCGCGTCCAACGTATACATATTTAGTGAAACTCCTGTTTCCCACCTCGCGCTTCCTTCCACAGGAAACAGACACGGCGTTGGTCCACCGTGCCGTCAAATGAACGAAACACGATACCAGGCACTGCTTGGTAAAACTTGATTGTCAACTCGGGGATTTGATGCGTCGCGAGACATTAGGCGCATGTAAAAAACGGAGCAGAAGGAATAAACCTACGAGCCCGGGGATGCACCCACCAATTGAACACCGGGAATGCATCCACCAAATGAGCCACCGGGGCGTGTGAAGCAATTGTGTCGACATTTTGGTGGAACAGGTTTTTGGACTTCAGAAGAGCGGCACTTTTGGGGCGTCACGACTGTGCTTGATACATGACTAACAACTAACGCGGGCAGCAACAGGGTACTCTGACCCATTTCCCCACCGTCGTGTAGACAAAAACTCAGCACGTGGGCAGTGTTGGTTATCTGAAACTGGTGAGATACTGTAGGTCCGGTCGGTAGTGCGCAAAGCCGTGAAAACTTGACCGCTCTGCTCACCATGTAGGTGAAGACGTGGCTGCTGGACTCGCTGGTCATGCAGCTGTAGGCGACTTGGATCCCAGCCGACAGGATGCCCGTGTCCGAGTCTCGCAAAAAGACGAACACACTCTCGCTGGGAGAAGCAGCACCGTAGGTTGCGCCAGCAGAGAGATGTGGATACATGCGTGGAACGTTAGCGGCAAACGAAAACCTATCGTAGCAAACATACATCAAAAACGTTTTCGTTGGTATTTGGGGCTGCAACTGAAATGTTAAACCTCGCCCCGAACATACGTTTTGCACTGCTGGTGCCGTCCGTATTGATGGTCTTAAGGCTTCCTCTTCTGGAATGCCTGGTAGACATGGGGCAGTTACGTACGCATCGCATGCACATAGCCTTGGAAACGTTTCAGACCACACATGCTCTTCCTCCATGACTTACACCGTTTACGATACTCACGGAGGGAGTAGGTGCTTCTCTTTGTCGTAGATAAAGACATGTGTAAGGCCCCACCCCGAATATAAATATTCATCACCTGTGAGATTCCCACTCGCCCTCCTCATAAATGCACGTCGTCGAAGCGTTCGCGGTCCCGCCCGGATACCAGTACATCTGTTCAAAACACAACAACAAAGCAGCCCCGTCAACGCCAAAATTCGAGGGCCATACAATCGCAAGCACCAGGTGGAGGCCCATCCTTATGGCTGAAAGGGCCGATGTTTTCGGAATCGTGAGTGAGGATAACGCTTTTCTATACTTCGAGACTTGCTTCGATGCTTGGAGAGGACACATTGACAGGACCATGGTGTTCCTAAGTACGGCACACATGGAATATACGTTGCTCACGTTTAGGAGGATATAGTCCTCCGGGTCTCGCTCGCCGTCTACGATGTCCACAGCGGAAGTCTCGAAGGAAACGCACCAGCCCCTCTGAAAGCAGCAGAAAAGCAGCAAACGAGGTGACAATCGATTGTCACCGAACGTTGTCATCTCAGACAAAGTTTACGCCTCACCCTCACCCACGCGTGGTCATTTATCGAGTCTGCTGGTCGGAAACGCCGGGGGGATGGGACGAAACCCGTCGCACCGCGCCCTGCCTACGCTTTCCTCCACGATCAGAACCTCGTGTCCAGGGTTCCTCACTCACTGCACTTTCCTGATTTCTTTCAAAATACCATTTTGCTTTTCGGGAAAGAATCGCACAACGGCTTACTCCTGTTGGTTTTCATACGCTTTTGAGTGTGTGTCCAAAGAGCGGTTCTCTGGACCGGCACCGTACGATATGGGGGCGGTCAGAAAGGTTATGAAGTAAAGCTAGAAGGACCATCTACACCAACAATGTAGCAGCAATAGTAGGATACTGGTAGAGCTCAACACAAGACTCACTTCATCTGTCAAGTATGCAGTGGTGGCAATTTCTTGCTCCAGGTCCCCGCCGGGGTTGAACACCGCCGTGCTGCTGCCCCCTTCCGTGTCGAAGACGGAAGACGCACAGAACTCCTCCAAGTCCATGTCGTCGCAACCGAAATAGTTGTACAAACACACGTAGGTGTCTGGGTATCTGTAAACGTTGTTCTGCGAAACAATAAACAGGCGCGTGGGGTGGGGGATAGGAGGAGCCAGGTGCACTTCGTTTGATCATTGACCACGCATCCCTTTCGAGATGGGGGTGCCGTTCCTACTCCGGACACCGGCTGGTTAGGGATGAAAGCCCATACCATAAGTCTTTTCGCTCAAAGCGACAGGGTGACATGGCCACCCTGTCGAACTATGGTCTGGCCCTGGAGACGAAGTTGAGCCGCGACGAATCAGTGGCCTTCAAAGAAGCCCAAAGCATGAAGATGCCCCACGCAACCTGCGCGCATCCACCAATTGGTTCGACCTATCCTGGCAACGTTTGGATGGTGGATGTTGTCGGTTAAATCATGGCCGTAACTGCATCGAAAGCACCGATGTTCTCGACGAAACGACGTTCGAATAGTACTGCTGTTGGAAAGAAGAAACAAATAACCGGATCCCATGCGATATGTGAAGTTTGATAAGGAGTTTGCACATGTGTTCGAAGAGGTATTGCGAGCCTTCCCGGGGACGGCGATCATTAAGGATAGTCGTTTTGCACAACTTCTTCTGAGGCCGCGGGCTCGTGTGACCTCCGTGGCGCTTGGATCCCGGAGATCTGATGACATAAAAACTGTCCTCACGGAACGTCCGAGAATGACTTAAAAGACAGACATGCTTAAGGCTAAGTGAGGTATCACTGCTGAGCGAGTGCTGACTTTTTGCGTCAAAGTTCCAGCTAGGCTTACATCTCGAGTTAATAAAAATAATCACGCCTCAACTGGCCGAGACACAACAAGTTTTTTGTTGGAGAACGTTATTGTAGGCAGCAGTTCAGCAGAGATGGCTGGAGGCAATCGCAATATCCTTTGCAGTCACACAGCATCCATAATACCAACCTGCGCCCTCCCGATACCGATGTCCCTGTAGCAGGATATCATCGTGTTATAACCTGTAGGTACGCCAGTCGAAACATCGGGCCTGCCGGGGAACTCTTCCGCAAGAGTCCAGCTTCCCTACTCGGAACCGGTGTACATAGCTCCATTTGGTCCGCGTGAATATTTCGTGCAGCCTAGACTACCTGTATCCTGTTCACATGTGCCAACCCCTCCTTGAAACCAGAGTTTGGTGGGAAATGCTTGCTTGGTGATTGACATGAGACTGCAATGCAAAACAACGGTGCCGGTAAGAAGACGCAGTACATACTAAACTCACCGATAGCACGAACGATGTACTCGGATTTTTACTCTTCTTCACCGCATTGTAAACGAGGAGCCCCGAATCTGAGAAGTGTAGGAAATCCAACAAACGATAGCAGATGCCGACAACAGCAAATACACAAGCGATTTCGAATAGTCATGAAAATAGACGGAGAGGCAGGTGCAGCTAGCTCCGAAGGAAGAACTTTAGAGGCAAGAACGTCGTGTTGGCAGAACAAGGTTGGCGCTGAAGTGAATACGCCCCCGCCGTCTGGCTTGCGCAGTGAACTGATAAGCAAGGATGTTTCCCTGGCTCTGTGAAGGCCTTTGATATAGACTTTTCATGGTTTCTTCACAGGAGATTGGGGGCATCCCAGCAGAAAGCAACGATGCACGGAAAATCATAACTTCGCACTCACACCAATTAGAATTCCGTCCAGTTTTGCGCCGCAACAACAGCAGTTAGTTTTTTGCTGCTACGGACAGGCAGCCACTTTTATTTACTTATTCATCATCCGACACCCTCGGCTCGAAAACAACGAGTACGTAGTAAGGCGTTCCACTTCGCGACTTTCGGAAGGTTGAGGGAAGAGGCGAGCCGGTTTGACGCGCTTCAGCGAAGACGTCCACAAGGCAGCAACTTTCAACCGATTTGCGAACTCACATGCCAAGATCGCCACAATCAATGTTATAAATAGCGTGACTGCCCGGCGCTTGTGCTGTGGAAGGACTTCGGCCGGCTTCCTGCGAGGAGCAGCAAGCCGTCACCACATAACATCGTTGGTGGTTCGTTGTCGTACGTCCGACGGACGAAAACAACAAGCGGTTTACGTACCATGCTGCGGGAGCTCTGTTGAGATATCTTCACATACATCTATTCTACATGTAATGTTAATGTTGACATATCGCTCTCCTTCTGCGACGCTGCTACATGCAGGTATTAGCGAGTGATGAGCACACTAGCTTTTAAAATGCTTCAGAAATGACGGTAGATAGCCTACAAAGTAGACTAGACTGACGCCCTGTCGCCAGGCAGGGGTGACACGTTCAGACGGGGACTGTATGTATGTACAATAGTCTGGTGTAAGACCTTACCACATGATGCCTGGTAGCTCTCGAAGTTCTCACGAGGGCGCCCAGCTCTATGCTCGCTGCTGCTGCTGCTGGTTCACGGTGGTGGTGGCAGTCGGAAACCTGGATAGCGGCAGGACGTATGCATAGGTGTGTGCGATGCGTTGTCTGCTGTGGTGCTGCTGCTCCTGTCGTGGATTAGGGCCTACAGACAGGTTCCTAGGAACCTCTGTAACCTATTGTCTTCTGATAATATTCGCCGATTCGCCGCCGTGCCAACTATGTACGCTCGGCGATCCCGCAGGTCGCTTGGGGTACCACAAAACTAGCTGAGCGTGAAAAGAAGAGCGACTGAAAATCTCGAACCGCTCATCAACGATGTTTGTTGGCCCGTTCTGTTGTCCGTCGATCAATCCGACAGTAGTCTAGCATGTTATGTTGGGGAAAAAAATAATGGAACACACACAGAAAGACTACCTATTCAAGATATACCCACAGTCGAACGGGATGTAGCGGAGTATTTTCAGTGAGTGAAGGAAGACCGGCTGGGTACTGGACTTTTATGTGTTTCCGTCCATCTATCAATCTATTATCTCATACCATATGTTCTCAAAAAGATATTCCGAGTTCAAGATGTAGTCTAGATTACTGCTGCAGCAGGACCTGGTTTGACTCTTTTTTCCTTGCATCGCTGTGTACGCCCAGCAAATTTAACCCGAAAACAGGTTGCGCACGTGGTTGTGGGCGCGCATGGTAGCCGGCAATTTGCCGCTGATCCTACGATGCCGGAAAAGTGTATAAGTGCGGCAAGTCCGCCGCTCGTGGCGGTTGGTGGTCCCGTTTCGGGAGGGCAAACCACACAAAGAAAGTTAAAGTTGACAGTCCCGAGGGGGTGACGTTTACGTCAAATGGGGGTACTGGCTGGTGCTGGCAGAGCATGGCAGCCCAGCAGTCAGCGGCAGCACACTCTCAGCTCTGCTCTATCCGCGGGTCGGTGGCGTGTTACCCACCCCTCCTGTGTGAGAGGAAAGAAAAGACACACCAATGTCTCTACAGGCTTTGATTGAAGAAAAATTGACGACGGAGTTGACGCCGTCGCACATTGAGGTTATCAATGAGTCCGGTAATCACGGGGCTCGTTTGGGGGCAGAGTCGCACTTCAAGGTGAGGCAGCTCGAGGTAGAGCTTCAGCAATACAATGTTGCCCCAGCGAAACATGCTCTCTTGAGATGTCGAAATAATTGGCGCTGGTTGTTTCACGGGCCCCTGCTACTCAATGCTACATAGTTTATCTTGGCTGATCCGGTGACCTATCCTGCTGTCTCTTGCTCCTCTTACCGCACGTCCTGGTTTCGCTCTGCTCGTAAAAACGGGCTTCCCTAATTTAGGTCATCGTCGTCTCTACCAAGTTCGAAGGTGTGTGCAGAGTGGGAAGGATCTGGTGCGCTAGTATGTGTTCGTGTGTTTAAACATTATTTTCCCCAGACGCCGCTGCGTCATAGTGCTGTCTGCTGACTACTACGTAGACTATGAAAAGTCTATGTAGTACAAGACACGGTCGGCGAGGGACTCGTCACAACAAATTGGCATGCCCCAACATGAGAAACGAGAAACGTCAATTTCGATGTCGGGTCGAGACTCAATCTCTTACTCTCCCAAAAACCCAGCCTACTGGAAGTCGTCTTAACCCTCCTAGTACTGGAAACCCAAATGGGGAGACTTTGGGGACACCACAGCACTCAAATGCCTATTCACCCTCCTAGGCTCCGCTGTGTGAAAAGCACGTGAGAACCCTTGGTCTATCATGCTTGGCTGAGGTGGTACGCTGTGTGATATGCTGTGTGATGCCTCTCCTCGGCCTCTGACTTGCTCTTCACCATCTCCCAAGCCGCGTGTCCCGTAGGTCGTAATACTGCACATCGCCTCGTCCTGGAATAAGGTACTGTTTTGGCTTCAGTATAAAAAGTGTCCCCACAAAAAACGTGGGGACACTCTTTGCACGGAAGCTAAGTCACCCTTTGTCTGGGAAAGAGCTCAGATTCTTTGGAGGGACTGCTGTAGTCCCTCGGCCAATGACTGACAAACAGGTTTGAGACTTTTTTTTTGCAGAGGGGCTGAGTACTAGGAGGATTAACGAAGATTTATTGTTGTCTACTCCGGATATGCTGCTTCCGTTCTTGCTATTAAGTTGATGTCTAGTCCTTATTTCCTCGGGTAGAAACCACCCACCCCGCCCGGCCAACACACCCTAACCCTAACCCTAGGCCGATAGATAGCCTAACCCTTACGGGGCTTCCGGATTTGTTACTGGACCAGTCAGCACGCAGTAACCGTTACCCTAGGAATCGACTGCAGGTCTACAAAGGGTATTAGATTCTAGATGCGACCGAGGGAGAGCACGGAGCTAGCGCGCCATGATTTTGCTTTCAGCTCGAGATTTGCTTCACCATGGCGATCGGTTGCTGGCGAAAGCCCTGTTTTTCAGCTCCTTTGAAAGCCAGCTTCCGCAGGCCGTCGCGCTCCGAAAACGTGACTACGTCTTTTGTGACTTCGCCACACAGCAGAAGGATAACCACAGAACTCAGTGCAAAAATGTATAATTGTGGGTCAGCATCACATCGCTCGCCATGGGTCTGCATAGGTCACCTAGAATCGACACCAACTTCCTCTAAACGCGAGTGGTTGGCAGCGGGTAATTAGCGCGTGAAAAGAGAATCGGCCACATCCCCATGTTGAAGTCCTCACGGAGCCTCTGGCCAGACTTTGCAGCGCTGTTGCGGTCCAGAAAGTGCATGAAAAGCACTGGCGTCCCGGAGCAGGTACTTCAGGCACCACAGATTGCGATGTCGTGATCTAGAATTTTGGATCGGCACCACGGCGAGAGCTGTTCCAAAATAACCTCAAACCCCTATGAGACACAAAAGACAAAAGGGGGCGCGTGCTATCGTGTTCGTTGTCGCGAATAAACGAAAGGACCCTTTGTTCCATGGGCTGCAACGCAGGTGCAGTACCGCATTCGTACCAAGGTTTCTTGAATGGTTGCACACCAGCAATATCCCTCAGGTTCTGTATCTGTTGCGAACGACGACGAGTAGCCTTTGTGTAGTTAATCGTTTCTCTGGCATGTTATAGCACCGTCGTCGTTCGAAAAGCTGGTTGTGTTCAAGCCGCTCTTTGCTCGCGGCACCACCAGCATAGTGAATGAGGCCCATGAAGTGCCACCAGCCGTCACGACCAAACCCAACGCCGCACAGCCCTCCACGACCTCCGGGTCACCCTTGCTACACATTCCTCCTTGATAACGCCTTTCTACCACCCCTCCTACCACGCACTCCACGGCATCCCTTAAATTCAAAAGGCAAGCCTCTTTTAGCAAGGCATCGGATGGTCAACGCCGCCCTCAAGGAGGAACTGGTTGAGGACATTCACGCCTTGTCGATGACAACGAGGACCCCAGCTCAGTGGGCTGCTGAGGGAGGGGACAAGGTCGAGCCTACCCCACCCTGCGCGGGGGGTTCAACGTCAAGATGACAAAAAGTCGGAAACCCCTTAATGAGGGGAGAGGGGGGCGACCTGCGGCGAATGGGCCCTGGGCGGTAGCCTGTGCAGGACAGCCGGCATGTTCCTGGATTTGTTGATGGCGCGTTCCACAAAATTGGCATTCACAAGAAGTGGTCCCAGAACGTTCGGGTGCGGTGAAAGGAGAACGAACAAGAGAACTCGGGGCGCTGCTTGACAAGGATCGGCCACCCACGATCTTCTTTTCATCGGAAAGCCGTTGCAGTTTGGGTGGGCTAGCACGTGCAGCTACCGTGGACCTTCTACCGCACTCGTTGAGGGCCCTTCCCGAACTGCGGCAAGCATCTCGCTCAAAGAATTCGATTTATCCGAGCAGATGTCGCCATGTTTGACGGGCTTCTCCCCGGCCTTTGCTCAGTTTTCGGAATGCATATCTGCTCATCAAGCCGGTTGCCACGCTTGCTGCCGCGTGTGATCACTGGCTTGTAGTTCGGCCATTGCCGTCGCTAACTATCAGAGGGGGTATTGCAGAAAGAAGACTGAGCTGATTGTTCGGGAGTGACGACGTTGCCTGAATCTGTACATCTCAAGTGTTGATACGGACTGAGATCACCGTGTATTCGTGCTTTTTCGTTTTCCTAGGACGTGGACAGACGCCCGATGCCAACGTCACACGCCCAACGGTAACAAGATCGATGCTGGTGCACGATTACTTCGCTAGCTCTATCCGCCGTGTCACGTCTAGAACAGACAAGACCCTGTGCGCACGGTGTAAGCGTTGAAAACAGCAGCTTTCTCAATGACACACTAGAGACGGTACCAGTGAACCAGATGACTTCACACGATGCTGCCTAGAATTATTCATATTCACTGCCCGAGAAGCCTCTCAGAAAGTAAGGTCCACAACGTTCATATATTTTGCACGTTGCCGGGCGGCCACTGTACACAGCAGGATGGTGAACTGGCCGTTGTACTTGACGCAGCGTTTGCTTCCAAGTGCCGATGGGAACGGCGGCCGACCATTCGGAACACCACAACGACCAACCTCCCCCATCGAAATGCCGATGCATCATCAGTTGATGGTATGTATTAGCCTCAGCAAACGGAAGCGCCATGCTTATGGCCAACGTTTGCCGACTAGCAACTAAGTCTCCTAGCTGAAGACAAATATATGTTTTGGCGGCTTCGCGCCCCAAGCACATCATCATCAGGTCCAATTCTAGTGCCGGATCTTCAGGTGTTGTTGCTTGTTCATGCTGCTGCTGTTGTTCCATCGGCTTGGGGTCAAAACTGCCCAAAAACTTCAACATTATTCGGCCGAACAGTTCCTTTCCGCCTCGGCGGCTTCTGTTCCGAGGAGATAGCACACACCAAGGAAACCAGCAAAGAGGACGACGGAACGGGTGGCTTGATTATGGATCTCCGAAGGCGAACGCGTTTTCCTTGATGGGCATGGTGAGACATTCCTAGTGATGGGGCGACGCATGAAGCACATTAGTCTCACATGTGTGTACGAAATTGACACCGTGGCGTAACCTACAGGCGTCGAAACTATCAGTGGGAACGCTTTCCGTCACCGTCCAAACACCGCGCACCTTCTTCCGTGGAGAACAGCCGTCGCTTGTGGCCACGCGTGATTCCAACGTCTTGAGTCGGTTCCCGAGCTCCAGGTCTCTCGAACCAAATACGGGAGAGTACAAATTTGCGTGTTCACATTACATCTAGCTTGGGTCCATTTGACTAATGAGGCAACTATACAAAAAGTAAATAGCATGTGCTGGAGGGATGTCGCACACAAGTATCTAGCGACAGTCACACGCGGGGGAGGGGGAGCACGTGCACAGTCGTCCAAGTGCACAAAAGCGATATGACCTGCACCCCTGATGACCCGTCCAGCCAATACTACATGACGAACACGCGGACGTATGCTTCCTCTCGTTGCCCTCATCTCCGTTGCCGTCGTGGTGAGCGAGAGAACAAGAGGGGCCAAAAGCGACGTGATTTCCTCCACCGAAGCCGTGTTTGATGGCGGCGATGAACGTAGCTCTCAGCCACCTCCACTGTCTCCTGTAGCGGTGGGCTGATCCTCCTCATTGTCGGATTTGGCATCAGCCACTTCTGGAGGCGACTCAGCTGCGAAGACGCACCCGCCAAGGAAATTGAGCCGAGCGAGAGGATACGGAACATAAGTTGCAAGCTAGTTGAGGATTGTTGGAAGGCCGTGACGAAGTAGAGAGCGAGCTCTATCGGGCAGCCGTTGACCTTTCGTCACTGAGCTTCTGACGCAAAGGGGTCTGACAATATTGGGCTGTTCAGGTGGCGCGAGATCGACTTCGGCGTGCATTGGGGTCAGTACAAGCCAAATATTTCTAAATGCATAGGGCATTCATTTTCTCTGTGCAGGCATGAAGGGGAATGGACGCTCCTGCGTAGCGAGTGTTGAGTATCCCGAGTTGATGTTATGCTATCGCAGGCTGCATGAAGGCATGGAGCATTGTGTGCACGATGGCATTGACGTATCCAGCTGGATGTATTCAATGAAGTACCAGGCTGAGGGCAGCCCGGCCAGGTCTGAAGCCCGCCGTGTTTTCTCTTCAGAAAATACGTGTGAGGAGGCAAATCATCTGCAACAACCATTACGTTGGTGTGAGAAAAAGCAACAACTAATGGTGATGTACATACTTGTACACGTGCCACTGAGAGCTTCCAGCCACGGGCACAACAAACCGAGTACGCGAGAGGTATCCCGCCGTCGTGAAAGGGTTACAGCAAGACGCACCAGGGCTTGCATCGGGCGCGAAGCTCGTCCGAAGCAAAAAATTATGTGCTTGACTGACGTTCGTTCCTGGCAGGTGCCTGCAGAGGGTCCAGATCTACACATGAACGGCAACAAGACTGACACCTTGCTGTCACACTTGACACCATCTCTCTGCCTCCACAAAACAAAACTACCGCAATCCACGCGAGCGTGCTCAATCGCCCAAATTCCGGAGTTCCGGAGTCAGGTTTCATGGTTATGACGCCGAATCCTTCGCAATATCTTTGCAAATAGCAACGATTGTTATGGTTAACACTCCGTTCGAACGGATATGTTGAAGACTGGACAATGTGTTTTATAGTCAGTGAGAGTTGACATAATTGGACCTACCATATAGACAGTGTACACAACCGCAGTGGTTGTCTTTCGTTATAGACCACATGGTACTCGTCCAAGCGACAGCGATGCCTTCTGGGGTCACAGATTACATTAACCGTAGTGCGTAGACAGCTTGAGAATAACTAGGCTACCGCACAGCAGTGAAGTCGCGCAAATTTGATTAATTCGGCGGGCCCCACGTCAGATGGGGTACAAAAAAGACTAGCCACATTCTGCTTTTTTTTCTGTCCCTCTTTTTCCGTGAGTAAATGCTTTCAAAATATTTGGCCAAATATGCTCCAAACATGTTCAAAACTGCCATTTAGGCCATTCCTTACGGTGTCTTTTGTTTAGATCTTTTTTCCCTCCGAAGGGATGACCCAAAAAGGGATCTACAAATAAGATGGCCCCCTGCTTATGGTGCTGGTCGATCATTTGTCTCTTCCGAGTCCTCGACAGAAAAAAAGAGACACTGCAACGGCCGTTGTCACATATGTACATAACCCTTGCATCGCTTTTGTTTTTCGGTGATATATCCGCACAGAGTGAAGCAGCAGCAACTGTAAAGCTACCCTCGAGAGCTGTGGGTATGGTCCGTCTTGTGTGGCGGCTGATAGAGACCACGGGGCGATAGGAGGTACGGAAACTGAGGTGGCGAGAGTCAACAGCACGCTGAAAAAATGCCCACCGCTCCAGCAACTATTTTCTTTTGCTCTCTTGTCCGTGTCGCAACTTTGGTTTACCGGTACTCCCTCGCCACTCACTAAAGCAACAGCGATGACAATGGTATGCGCCACGAGCTGTGTGTATGGTTCGTCTTGTGTGATGGCTGATACAGACCAGGAGGCTATAGGGCGCTCAGAGGTTGTGAGCGCGAGAGTAGCGGACAAGCGGGAAAAATGACCCGCCGCATCTTCCAGCTTTTTTTGCTCTTTCGCCCGTGTCGCACCTTCGGTTTGCCGGTACTTCCTCGCCACTCACTCAACCAACAGCGATGACGAAGGTATGCGCCACGGGCTGTTCGTATGGTTCGTCTTGTGTGATGGCTGATACAGACCAGGAGGCTATAGGACGCCCAGAAGCTGGGTTCGCAAAGTTGACAGTACACGAAAAATGACCCACCGCTGCTGCTGCGTCCAGGCTGTCTCGGCTTGTTTGCCGCTTATTTGCCGCACACATCGGGTCGTCCACCTGGTCCAGCCCAATGAAAAAACAACGGCTGCCGCCGGTGCTACCGACTCTGTACCAGCCACATGGCACAACTGGTATGACCACCGTTAGGGTTTGCGGGGATCAACCGTGGATAGATTCAAGTTTGTAGGTGGAGTCATGTGGTTGTGGCCAAAACAATATAAACTTTTTCCACAGCCCGACTTATCCAACACTGCCCCAGAAAAAGACAGGATGGGCTGTCCAAAACGGGTTCATTTTTTGTCGATATTTTTTCCCTGAAAAAAGACACCGTAAGAAGGGGTTGTGTGGCCAGTTGTCTTCTTTTTGAGAAGGAATAAAGAAAAAGACAGCCCAAACAAAGAACCTAAGAAATGGCCTTATGCTCAATTTTTCGCCAAATATACTCAATTGGGTCATGTATGCTCGACTTTTGCCCAAAATGTCAGTATGCTTTTCTGCTGCATGACGCATTAATGGGGCAAGGCCTAGGTACAAACAACAAGCGGCGAATTTTGAATGGCGGCGCCTAGAGAAAAACAAAAAAGCAAAACAAAGTCCAGCCCTTTCTCGCGTGAACACCTGTATATCTCGACGACCGCGACGTCCATTCACAAGCAGATTGTTGCAGCAAATGCGGGATACGCAAGAGATCACCTAGATTTGTCTGTACTACATGGGTGCCATCTTTGGTATCCTCTCGGCGCTGTTCTTCGCAGCGCACAAGTCAGCACTTGTAGCATGTCAACATCAAATCATATAATGTGCCTATCTGTAGGTATATCAGGAAAGCAAGAACGCCATCGTCTCACAGCTCAAGGAGGCAGCCAAGTGCAGCAGCACCAGCGTGGTTTGAGCAACAAACAGGTATAGAGAGGCGGTTCTGCCTTGAGGTTTGCCCCTGTGATAATATGAGCAGTGAAACATCCCGCCTACTTGCTGCTGCTGCTGCTGCTGTACATGAATTCCCAACGGCAAAACAGAGGACCCTCTCTGATCTGACTGATCTTTGTCTCACGTTCTGCACAACACCACCATATACAACAACAACAGCTGCTGCCAGAGTGGAGTACATGTGATGTATATTGCCACTGGGTCAGTGTGCCAACCTCCCTTGTTGTGTGCGTTTGTTCGCGTCTGGCGATCATGATCAAGTTGCAGCTTCTCCTCTGCCGCTTGCTTGATACTTGCTACGGCTGTGCCGCGAATAGCAGCAGCAGAAGCAGCGCGCCGATCTGTTGCTTCCATGTCCTTCCTCTGTGTGCTACGTGCTCGTTGCTGCGTGTGCTGTGTTTGCTTTTTACTGCGAAGATCGCGAGTGATGTGTGCGCCTGCTGTGGCCCCTTTCCAAATGTGTCACAACACCGACGGAAACCAAGTCCCTACCTTGTTTTCTAGAACAAAAACTTGTGTCACACTACCGACCGGCGGGGCGCCGCGTCTCCCAGTACAATAGTGTCCGCGAAACCAACTGGACGAACCAAACAGG